AAAACTAATTGGTTGGTCTTATTTTTAGTTCTTTGCTGTACTCAGGGGTTATGCATCCTGCTAGGTTTGTGTGTCTGGCCCTATGTCTGCATTCTCTCCTCCCACCAACCTCGCAATTTAGTGCCAGTTTGAGTCTTGTCTGGTGTTCCCCAAAACACAGAATTTTCCCAAGTTTCATGAAAAAAGGTGGCTGGATAGAAGAAAGAATTTCTTAGCTGATCAAAGTGCTACAAGATGAGCTTAGGCCTTAGCAGACACCAAAAACCACAAAGCCAGCGCACATGAGCCAGTTTCAGAAAAAGGCTTGGTCTTGAATCTCCTGTGGGGACCAAATCCATAGGATGTCAGGCTTTGTTATTTTTCTTTGGTGTTGCACTCCTGACCTCTTTTGAGTAATGAATTACTGCACAAGACTTATATTTTACCTGAAAATTTAATACAGTTTTATTATTCAGAAGATTATTTTTGTCTTTCTATGCATGTTTCCATATTCTCTCATTACATCATATGTCCTAGATGACCCATGCTTCAGAAATCCAGCTTTCTCAAGGCTGATCGTAATGAATCTTTCACCCTCAGTGACAAAATATGTTGCATTGATTTGTCAAGGCGTTCCTTTTGCTACATTTTAAACTATATATTATGCTATAATTTATTGCTGGGCTGATCTTTATTCATGCACAGACAGCTCACATGCATTTTGCATCCTATTTATAGATTTATTGATAACAGTAATCCAGCAGCATGTCAGAATGCTAGATAAGTACAGATGAATATAATTTCAGAAAATATTAGATGCTTTTAAAACTCCAGGATTTGCATCTTCCTTCTGTCTCATTGTGTAATTTGTCATTCAGGGTAACAGACCTTTCCAATAATGGGAAATTTCATGTATCTTCAAAGAGAGAAAAATGTCAATATTTGCCTTCTCCAGTACTTCATGCCACAAAGGAAAATGTGGAAAGCATGTTTTTTGCTGGACTCCATAATCCCGAATTTGGGTGAAAATGGGCATGCTACTTGGGCAAAAAATATACAAATAGAATTATTATCTCCTGTTTGTGAAGTAAGAATACTTTCTAAGAATTAATACTTCAGACAAAATATAAATATCATCATCAAGAAAATGTAGGACTGAAAGAAATATCAATCTGCTTAATAGACTAATTCAGCATTCAAACCGAGTGATGCCATATCTAAATAAATACATTACAACAAATATTTCAGGTACTATCCTAGATTATTGTGGTTTATTATTTTTACATTTACCAATTTGGCGTCAAGTACCTGGTAAATACAGTCTTCTTAAAACCAAAAATGTGAATAATTAGAAACTCCTGCCAACTACTCTTCCAGCTTTCCTGTGTTGTCTAAACACCAGAAAAGGGGAGAAAACCACTTTCCATTTTATGATTTTCATATTTAGATCTCTGCATCATAGGCGCGTCACTTACCAAATAGGAATTCTGAATTGAGGGAACATTTTGTAATTGTTCTTTGTTTTGACAGTGATCCCACAGCAGAGAACAAGCCGCAAGGGCAGGTTTTGCATTTAGAATGAAATCAAACATAATGGCATGATTCACTGGAAATGAAAGTTCATATAGAATTGTTAATTATATTCATGGATTATTTTTTCCCCTCTACAGAATGAGCAGAATATGATTCCTTTAGCTGTCTGTCTGCTATTGTCTCCTGGTCACCTCCCACATGCCATGAAAATGTGATTTAGTTGCTACATAATACGCATAGGTAGATTCTGGCTCTTTTGTAATTTGCAGCTCTTGAGAATATTGTGCTATTTATCACCACAGGAAATATCAAAGCAGCACCAGAAAGACTTTTAGACTGAGCTCATAGGGTCATTCTTTGTTCTTATCAATGGCGAAAACAGCCCAATTCATGTAAGAATATCACTTTACAGCCAAAGCCTTTCTTAAAGACTATGCAGACCAAAAGCTTTGTGCCAGAATTAATTTATTCTGAACAGTGAAAGCCTCAGAACAGTGCAAATTACTTGAAGACTCTGCTGTGGGTCTCTAGCACAGCATCCATCTACTTGAGGTATTGTTTCCCCCTATGTCATACTGTCACCACTGGGGTCAGCAGAACTGAAATTTGGTCTGCTGGGAGAGATTGTCTGTGGAAGGATACTTTTCCTCTGGGAAACGTTTTCCAAAGTCTCAAGGCAGTAAGAAGTTGTTGGCTCTTCAAATGTGCTTCAATTCCACCTATTTCAGAAGGTACTGGTAGGTGAGGAAAGTGATTTCCTTAGTGTTTTAAAGATACATCCCTGTTGCTCAGGATCTTGGTGATTTTTTTTCCAGAGGGTATGTGCTAAGCAATTTCTGAAAGCTCAGTCCTTAAACAGCTTAAGCCAGGCATGATGAAAACTGAACTACACAAATACCCTAGAAAAATCTCTGTCCTGGCACTTACTGCCACAATTTCCACAATTTTTGTACCTGACCTTGGGCTGGTCATTTATCTTCTCCATGCTGCTTTTGTACAAAATTAGTTCTCTTTCATCATTGTGAGATTAAGGCCATGCAAATATATCCTCCTGTATCTCCAGGTTTGCCTGCTGAGGAAGTTAACACCCACAGCACCTTCCCTTGAGGGGGCTTATTAATGCCTCTTTTCCGGGGCTGCCCCGACAGATTTGCTGACTGAAAGCTGTTTGCTGGGTTTTTCATATAACTGCTTTTTTTTAGTCCCTGAGATCAATGTCCTTTCAGTCAGTGCTGACCAGTGATACTCATTAAAAGAGATCTACAGTTAGTTTAGGCTAACTTAGGCTGTTTTGATTGAGACAAATGAGGAAGTAACCATATGAGTAGCTCTGCAAGGGGATGTCTATAGCTCCCTCCCACCCCCAAAAAAGCAGCAGCTGAAAGTGGTAACCTCAGCTGGCAAAATGGGAGTAGGGAGAAGACGTGTATTCACTGACTTTAATCATTAATATCTTTTAGTTCATTGGAAGGAAGGAGTGGGTACTAAAGGTTATTATTTAGATAAATGATCCAAAAGACAAGCATAAAAAAGACAGATATGCTGGGTGAAAGCAGAAACCCATTTCCCCAATCCATTAGCATTTTTAGTTTTAAACTATAAGGAGATTATCTAATACGTGACACAAAGATGACTGAAAAAATGTAATCAGATGACTTTCTTGTTATTAAAAGGAAGAGGTAGGTTGCAAATAAAATGAGCTTTTAAATTAGTGCTTTGTGCACATCACAGTTAAAAAAAAAACAATTATAAATCAGGGTAGCATCATCGATCAAAGCCCCACATTATGGCACTTTGCATTTCCTATATGAAATTTATATAATCAAAGTTTCTGTGCCAAGAAGCGTCTCTGTGGGAGACTTAACTCTATGCTGAGCACTGACCTTATCTAAGGAATGCTTGTTTCTTATTATATTGTAATTTATAAGGCAGTTTTCATCAAAAAAAGGTAAATATTTGACAAGGGACATTTCCTTTTCCCTCGGTTCTTTCTCCTTTGTTGTTAATTGCTTAGCTTTAACATACCAATTGTAATTTTATTCCCTGAAGATCAGTCTTCATTTTTATTAGCTATTTCTTTAATTATGATAAGGCAACTTTAAAAAAGGATTCCTTGGAAGCAGGAGTGACACTCCGGAATAAATATCTACAAATGCTTGAATTCAACAAACAAATCCCCTAAAATGAACAGTTACTGTTACTTTGTTAAAATCACCTTTTACCTGTTTGTTTATCTATAAAAAGTGAAAACACTGGTGAGAATAAGTATCATGCCACTGACACGGGAGCAATTGCACCGGTAGTAGTACGCAGTGTTACTGTTCGTCCCACTGCTAACACTGTCTTTTTTTTATACACCGTGTAGGGTAATTGCTTTCAGGACAATTAATTTCCAGCAGCTTTTTCTAGCTCAGTAAGGAGCTCCTAGCTATTAACAAAAGTCTTACTG